AGGGGCAGCCTGTCCTCGCCTGGTGGGAGTGAGGGGACCCATACTGTAGCCAGGGTACCAGCTGGGGTAGAAGCACCAAGGTGGTCCTACAGTGTTAGGCAAAGGGACATAGCAGCATCCCCTCTCCTCACACTCTCTCTGGCTGAGAAGCCTGTCCCTGGCACAGTCAAATCGACTCTCTGGGGCCATGGTGCATTTAGTATCTATGGAAATATCAGTGTCTTGAAAGTTTTCTATGTGAATTCCCCTTTTCTTCACTGAACTATTCTGTGGTTTTGTTGAATTGTTATTAGCGAGCATATAATTTGCTATGATCTCATTTTGCTTAGCATGGACTGACCTAACCAGTGCGGTTTCATAGTTAGGCAAGTGCTGGATGTATAATATAGACAAAGCAAATGCAAGGAGGACAACAGCCACAGTAAAATTAAACAGACCCATGCCTTGCTCAGAGAGTCACTGCCAGGTTAAATGGCAATTAAAGGTGATACTATGCACATTCTGTGGTTCGCATTATGTAAGTTAGCTTAAACATTAAATAGTATAGTACGTTGTAGTTGTTACTGAAAGCCGCTACGAACAAACAACTAGAGAATCATTCACTCAGTTTTATTCATTGTGGGTGCTGAACCATTTCACTGGCTCAGTGGTAACTGGATTACCCTAGTTTGCTGTTAGCTAGCCACATCTAGCCAGCTGCAAAGTGTGGAGCTTTTGTTTTCAAAGAACCTCCGAATACATTACGTGCGAGCGGTAACAGAAAAACGTTTTATTAAAACGCAGCGGAACAAGCACAATTTCAAAGAAACAAGATGTAAACAAAAAAATAACATATCTGCAAGAAGTCGCGTTAAAATTAGCACCATTACAGCTAACGTTAAAGTACGGCAAGCATATTAGGACAAAGGTTCTACGGTTGCAAATATTCTGAGAGCGCCATCGCTGTTTGATTTTGATTTGATTTTGATTTATTCTTTCAAGCATGTAAAAACAGTTGATATGACAACACACATAATTTTACACATAATCCAATATCAATTTGCTTATACCTAGTACATGCTTGAATGGAGTAGGAAGAAGTCAGACTTATCCAGTCCTACCCCATGACATCATCTTACCATCATTGGTTTGCAAGCAATAAATGATTCACTTCTATTCTCTTCTACACCACACAAGTAATATACTAAAGAATTAT